GATCTTGCAATCTTTAACTTGTTCGGTTTCTGTTGACTATTCTAATACTTTTTGGTATAGTTTCGTTATTAGTTTATCTGTCATCATTATTTTATTCCAGAAAGTGTCTTTCTCCATAAATCCTATTATCTTGTCGTTGTTGTAGCATTCTCTTATTTGTCTGTATTGAAACCAGAAGATATTCTTATCATTTGGTTGATTTCTTCTTGTGTTTTTAGTGTGGTATTTCTATTCCTTTTTTCAATATATTTCTATATGTAAGCCACTTTTCCTGTCCCATTTCTCTTTTTTGTCCTCTTTCTAATGGGGGAAATCCATAATGGGGTATTTGTGTACAATCTACTTTTATATTTTCTCCATATTTTTATTAGCGCAAATCTAATAAAATGATTACCATTTTTTTCTCTACTTTCCTCTTCTCATACCAAACATAAGAGTGCCAGCCAGCTCTTAAGTCAAATCCTTCTAATGTTAAGATTCTTGTTTTGTTTAGAGTTGACCAGTCTTTGATCCAGCTCAGTCCACACTCCTGATAATATAATTTAAGGTATTGTAGGCCAAAGCCACCTCTTTTTTTCTCATCAGTTAAATTGATAAGCCGGATCCTCGGTTTCTTCCCCTGCCATACGAATTTAGATAAATCTTTGTTCCAAGTTTTGAAGATCTGCATATTCCCGAGTATTGGTAATGTTTGAAACAGATATAGTATCTTTGGAAGTACATTCATTTTGATGACTGCCATTCTTCCCATTAGTGAAAGATTTAGATATTTCCAATATTCCAAATCTTTATTTCTTTCTATTTTAAACATAGATACATTTCCTGTAGATAAAAAGGTAAAGGTTTCCCCTGACATTAAGTCTAGTCATGTCCAACTTTGGGGGTTGGTGATCATCTCCATTCCTAAGCCGAAGAGCCGGCATTGTCCATAGACACCTCCAAGGTCATGTGGCCAGCATGACTGCATGGAGCACCGTTACCTTCTCACCTGAGTGGTACCTATTGATCTACTCACATTTGCATGTTTTCGAACTGCTAGGTTGGCAGAAACTGGGGCTAACAGTGGGAGCTCATCCTGCTCCCCGGATTCAAACCAACTACCTTTTGGTCAGCAAATTTAGCAGCTCAGCGGTTTAACCTGCTGCACCACCAGGGGCTCCATAGTACAATATAGTAATATATAATACTAATATTGTGCTATGCTGATAATATTATTGTCTGAACATATAATCTTGATAATAGTATTATAATGTAATATAATATAATACTAATTATACCATATAACAATATATAATAAGATTGTAATATAGCAATACTAATATATTAAAGTATTGTTGACCGAAAGGTCACAGGTTTAAATCTGGGGAGCAGCATGAGCACCAGCTGTTAGCCCCAGCTTCTGCCAACCTAGCAGTTTGAAAACATGCAAATGTGAGTAGATCAATAGGTACCGCTCCGGCGGGAAGGTAACGGCACTCCTTGCAGTCATGCTGGCCACATGACCTACCAACACCGCCAGCTCTTCGGCTTAGAAATGGAGATGAGCACCACACCCCAGAGTCGGACATGACTGGACTTAATGTCAGGGGAAAACTTTTACCTACCTTTACCTAATATATTAAACATTATTACTACTGATGATATATAATAATTATAATGATATGCTATTTTATTATTGTAGATTTGTATATTTTAAGTTGTCATGTTTTTTTTATTATTGTGAGCCACTTTGAGTCTCTGTTTGGAGAGATAATGCAGAATATAAATAAATAAGTAAATAAAATTATTGCCAAAGTGGAAGGCGCTCTGAATCACCTTTCGGGGTGGAAATAGAGCGGGGTAAAAATGCAGTAAAAAATAGTGATGTTATTATGATCAATGACGGCAATTATAATAGAATCCTAGAGTGGGAAGAGGCCCACAAAGGTCATCCAGTCAGATCCGTGCTGGCCATGCCTCCAGCTCCCCTTCCAGGCATATAGATAATATTATAATGTACTACAATATAATACTAATCATAATACAATATAATAATAATATTGTAAGATAGTAATACTAATATATTAACTATAATTTCTGCAAATAACATATAAGAATATATGATATACTGTTTTATTATGGTAGATGCGTATATTTGTAAGTTTTCATGTTTTGTTGATTGTGAGCCTCTTTGAGTGTTAAAGCAGGGTATAAATACAGAAATGAATAAATGAATAAATGAAATGTAGCCTTGAATTCTTGCCAAACTGGAAGTTGCTCCGTTTCCCCTTTCAGGTTGGAAATAGAGTGGGGCAAAATGCAGTAAATAATAAATAAATAACGATATTATTCTCAACTAGCCATCCTCTGCTGTGCACTGCTGTGGCCCAGTGCCTTGTGTCCAAATTTGGCGGAAATTCGTCCAGTGGTTTTTGAGTTATGTTAATCCCACAAACGAACATTAGATTACATTTTTATTTATATAGAAGGACGATGCTAAGAATAGAACCCTAGAGTAAATAATAAATACATCTATATAAATAAAAATGTAATGTTTGTTTGTGAGATTAACACAATTCAAAAACCAGTGGACGAATTGACACCAAATTTGGACACAAGACACCTATCAAGCCAACAAGTGACCATCACTCATAAAAACACTGAAAAACACAGCAGAAGGGACTTGAAAATCCAAAAAAGACACTACAACGCATGCACAAAAATACTCCCTTGGCAAACAAAACACACAATAGCATATCCACACTCTCTTCCGGACTACAGCTCCCAGCATCCCCTAGACCAGGCCCTTTAGGCGAGGATGATGATCCAAATGCACTGCTTCCAAGATGCAAGCTTTCTTCTCCTTGGATTTCTTTGAGAGCATCCCAATCCCTGCATATTTCCAATTTCCTATTCCTGGATTGCAACTCCCAGCAATCCTCCAGATAGATAGATTAGATAGAGATAAATAGATAGGTAGATAGATTAGGAGGACTGCTGGGAGTTAGAGTCCAAGAATAGGTAGAGAAGGAAGAATGGGGAGAAAGAGGAAGTGAAAGAAAAGGAAAGGAAGGAAAGGAAAGAAAGGAAAGGAAAGGAAAGGAAAGGAAGGAAGAAGAAAGGAGCGGAAGGGAAGGTGTAGGAACGAAGGAAAGGAAGGAAGGAAGGAAGGAAGGAAGGAAGGAAGGAAGGAAGGAAGGAAGGAAGGAAGGAAGGAAGGAGAGAAGGAGAGAAGGAAAGAACCCAGAACGCATGGGACTGTGGCTCGGAGCCCACTGGGAGAAAGAGAGAGGGAAGGTGGCTACAGCAACGCGTAGTGGGTACAGATAGTAACATATAAGAACATATAATGATATACTGTTTTATTATGATAGATGTGTATATATTTTTTTAAATTGAGAGCCGCTTTGAGTCTCCATATGGAGAGATAAAACAGGGTATAAATACACGAATGAATAAATGAAATGTGGCCTTGAATTCTTGCCAAACTGGAAGCTACTCTGAGTCCTCTATTGTGGTGGATAGAGTGGGGTAAAACTGCAGTAAATAATAAATAAACAATGATATTATGACGACGATGCTAAGAATAGAATCCTAGAGTACATAATCTATATAAATGAAAATGTAATGTTTGTTTGTGGGATTAACAGAACTCAAAAACCAATGGACGAATTGACACCAAATTTGGACACAAGACACCTATCAGGCCAATGAGTGACCATCACTCATAAAAACACAGAAAAACACAACGGAAGGGACTTAAAAAGCAAAAAAAAAACCCACATTACAATGCATGCACAAAACCACATATATACACATATACACAAATATATACACATATTCATATATATATATATACACACACACATACATACACAAAAACACATATTATTTTTATTATTTATTTCGAGGTTTTATATACCGACCCTCTCACCTTCAAAGAGGGATTTGGACCGGTTCACAACATGTGTTAACATACAAAGAATACACAAAACCAACACAATGCCATTTTATTACACGATTGAAATATCAGCACTATACACATTAAAACATTATCATCACAGTTAAAAGAGCCAAATCGTCCGACACCATCACAATCCCATTCATCATCCTCCTTTCATGTGGGCAAAGAATTAAATCAGTTGTCAAATGCCGCGTTCCACAACCAGGTCTTTGTTAGTTTCCTGAACGTCATGAGGGAGGGGGCAGTTCTGATCTCTAATGGCAGGGAGTTCCAAAGTCGAGGGGCCACCATCGAGAAGGCCCTGTCCCTCGTCCCCACCAGGCGGTGGGACTGAGAGCAGGGCCCCTCCAGACGATCTTAGTGGTCTTGATGGTTCGTAGGGGAGAATATGTTCAGAGGGAGAAAGGAGGGAAAGAAAGAGGGAAAGAAGGAGAGAAGGAAGGAAAGAAAGAAGGTAGAGAAGGAAGGAAGGAGAGAAGGAAATAAAAAGTGAAAGAGGGAAGGAAGGAGAGAAGGAACGAAAGAGAGAAAGAGGAAGGGAAGGAAGGAAGGAAGGAAGGAAGGAAGGAAGGAAAGAGACAAGGATGGAACCAAAGAGCAAAGGAAGCGAGAAAAGAAACAGGTAGAGAAGGAAGAAAGAAGGGAAAGGAAAAGAAGGAGGAAAGAAGGAGAAAAAAGGGAAAGAGGGAGGGAAGGTTGGCCACAGCAACGCGTGGCGGGTACAGCTACTAAATAATAAAATTTAAAAATGCAGTAAACAATAAATACAATAATAATAATAATAATAATAATAATAATAATAATAATAAATATTATGATCAAGGATGCTGCTGATAGAGTCCAAGAGTGGGAAGAGTCCCCCAAGGGCCATCCAGTGGTATCCCCTTCCAGGCGGTGGGCATCGAGGGCAGGGAGGCCAAGGGGAGCCGGGGACGGGCCTGATGCCCATCGGGGCGGCCCCTTCTTCTTCCTCCTCCTCCTCCTGGGGCAGCCCCGCCCTTCCTTCCCTGCCTCCCTCTTCCTCCCTCCTCCCTCCTCTGCCAGGTCAGCGCCGGCTTCTTCGCCTTGCCCACCGCGCTCGGCTGGCTGGCTGCTGTGACTGGCACCCTTGCCGCTCTGCCGCTCCCCCTCCCTCCCTCCCCGTAGCGGCGCCAAGATGGCGGGATCGGTGGCCGAGCGGGACGCCGCGGTGTCGGTGAGCGAGCGAGCGGGGCCTTTCCCGCGGAATCTAGTGCCAGGAGAAGCAGGGGGGGGGGGGGGAGAGGGCCGAAGCCGGCCCTGGGGATCCGCGCGGGAGGGGCCTGGGCCTGGGATACCTGTTGGCGGCGACGGCGGAGATGGCACGCGAGCCCTGCCAAGCCTTGCAAAGCGGGCTGGCGGTGGGGCAGGGCTGCAATCAGGCGCGCGCCTCTGTTGACTCCTGCCCGCGTCTCCGGGATTGGGAAGGGACTCCCTTTGTCTGGCTGGCAGAGGGGATGTCGAGGAAGAGGGGGGCCCTCTCTCTCCATCCTTCCCTCCCTTCTAGGTGCCCTCTCCCACCATCCTTCCTCCCTCCCTTCTGGGTGCCCTCTCCTTCCTTCCATCCTTCCCTCCCTCCCTCTCTTCTAGGTGTCCTCTCCCTCCATGCTGCCCTCCCTCCCTTCTGGGTGCCCTTTCCCTCCATCCTTCCCTCGCTCCCTCCCTTCTGGGTGCCCTCTCTTTCCATCCTTCCCTCCCTCCCTCTCTTCTAGGTGCCCTCTCCCTCCATCCTTCCCTCCCTCCCTTCTAGGTACCCCCTCCCTCCATCCTGCCCTCCCTCCCTTCTGGGTGCCGTCTCCTTCCATCCTTCCCTCCTCCCTCCCTCCCTTCTGGGTGCCCTCTCCTTCCATCCTTCCCTCTCTCCCTCCCTTCTAGCTACCCTCTCCTTCCATCCTTCCCTCCCTCCCTTCTAGGTACCCTCTCCCTCCATCCTGCCCTCTCTCCCTTCTAGGTGCCCTTTCCCTCCATCCTGCCCTCCCTTCTGGGTGCCCTTTCCCTCCATCCTTCCCTCTCCCTCCATCCTGCCCTCTCTCCCTTCTAGGTCCCCTTTCCCTCCATCCTTCCCTCTCTCCCTTCTGGGTGCCTCTCACTCCCTCCCTCCCTCCCGGGTGTCCTCTCCCTCCATCCTTCCCTCCCTCCTCTTCTTGGGTGCCCTCTCCCTCCATCCTTCCCTCCCTCCCTCCTGCCCGCGTCTCCGGGATTGGGAAGGGACTCCCTTTGTCTGGCTGGCAGAGGGGATGTCGAGGAAGAGGGGGGCCCTCTCTCTCCATCCTTCCCTCCCTTCTAGGTGCCCTCTCCCACCATCCTTCCTCCCTCCCTTCTGGGTGCCCTCTCCTTCCTTCCATCCTTCCCTCCCTCCCTCTCTTCTAGGTGTCCTCTCCCTCCATGCTGCCCTCCCTCCCTTCTGGGTGCCCTTTCCCTCCATCCTTCCCTCGCTCCCTCCCTTCTGGGTGCCCTCTCTTTCCATCCTTCCACTTCTCTAGTTTCCCACAGATCTCACAAACTCTGAGGATGCCTGCCATAGATGCAGGCGAAACGTCAGGAGAGAATGCTTCTGGAACATAGCCATACAGCCCGGAAAACCTACAACAACCCTGTATTTCCGGCCAATAATACATTGTCTGTGTTTTGTCTCCAGAAACTTGAGGACGGGCACCTCAACAACTCCCTGGGATCCCCTGTCCAAGCAGAAGTGTACTTCCCAAGGCTGGTAAGGAAAGGGCTGTCTTTCCCTCCTCTTGCATGAACTGAACCCCCCTCCCTTCTGGCATACACAGGCTCATTGTCCACCCTTGTCCTCCTTCCAGACCGTCCCCTTCTGTGGGCATATCAAAGGTGGCATGCGACCGGGCAAGAAGATCCTGGTCATGGGCATCGTCGATCTCAACCCTGAGAGGTATAAACAGGCACTATGCACTTCCCACGGCCAGTGCAACCCATCCCCACCCTCCCCCTTTAAGGTTCCCACGAGCCTTTTCTCTCGAAGCTGGCTATTTTTTGCTGGCAGGCGATAAATATAGAACGCTTTGGACCCAAACATTGAGAAACCCAGGCCTGTCTTTCCCAGCATCCCTCTTGGGCACATGACGTCTTTTCCATACAGTGGGGGGATGAGAGGGGAAACGTGGAGCATGACAAGCAGTGGCGAGGGAGAGAGGGAGAGAGGGATGGAGGAAGGTGGCACGCAGGGAGCCACAGGTCCCGTTGGTATTGCCAGCAGAGAGGCAGCTCTTGGCGCAGCCCGTAGAATCCAAGGCTGTTCTGCCTCAGGGCCCTTCCACACAGCCACATAAGCCAGAATATCAAGGCAGGAAATCCCACAACATCTTCTTTGAACTGGGTTATCCAATAATGTGGGATTTCCTGCCTTGATATTCTGGGATATAGGACTGTGTGGGCCTCCAGATATTCCAGCTCAAAGCAGATATTGTGTGATTTTTTGTCTTGATATTCTGGGTTATATGGCTATGTGGACTGAGCTGCAGTATATTACATACCATGATAGATACTACAGTACTGGATCAGAAATCACTCAATGAACTTCTTATTCTCAGTTAAGTCTGTGAAAGATTTAAACCTGAATATTTTGTATTTGCTTTGATGTTGTTTGCCCAGAGCTGAAGTTGGTGCTATATATGTAAGCATAAGAAGCCAGTTTGTTTGTTTGTTTGTTTGTTTATACTTTTTTATGTAAGCATAAGAAGACATTTGAGTCCCCTCAGGGAGAAGGGCAGAATATAAATAAAGTATTATTATTTGAAACACAATAAGATGAGTCCACAGCAGACAAGATCACTCTGCTGGCTGTTGTATTGGATCACATGTCGGACACTTCCCAAGTGTCTAGGACTGCGTGATGTGTCTGCAAATAATGCATGCACCCAGTAAAGTGGCCTTCTGCAGCTGGCAGATGGTAATCTTGTCAGCGCAGATTGTGTTTAAGTGCAGGCCGAGGTCTTTAGGCACTGCACCCAGTGTGCCGATCATCATTGGGACCACCTTTACTATCGTCATCGTCGTCTTCTTCTTATTATTATTATTATTGTTGTTATTATTATTATTATTATTATTATTTGAAACACAACAAGATGAGTCCAGCAGACAGATCACTCTGCTGGCTGTTGTATTGGATCACATCGGACACTTCCCAAGTGTCTAGGACTGTGTGATGTATCGGCGAATAATGCGTGTAAATCCCAGTAAGGTGGCCTTTCGCAGCTGGCAGATGGTAATTTTGTCAGTGCCAATTGTGTTTAAGTGCAGGCCAAGGTCTTTAGGCACTGCACCCAGTGTGCTGATCACCACTGGGACCACCTTTACTGTCGTCTTCTTCTTATCATCATCATCATCATCATATTATTATTATTATTAACAAGATGAGTTCACAGCAGACACTCTGCTGGCCGTTGTATTGGATCACACGGACACTTCCCAAGTGTCTAGGACTGTGTGATGTATCGGCGAATAATGCGTGCAGATCCCAGTAAGGTGGCCTTCTGCAGCTGGCAGATGGTAATTTTGTCAGTGCTGATTGTGTTTAAGTGCAGGCCAAGGTCTTTAGGCACTGCACCCAGTGTGCTGATCACCACTGGGACCACCTTTGCTGGCTTGTTCTTATCATCATCATCATCATCATATTATTATTATTATTTCCCTTTTATCCATAAGCAGTAACAGGTTTCAGAGGATTTGGGGAAAGAGTCCCCAACCCCTTTCCATTACTTTATGGACCAAGAAGTACCACCTTTTGTAAGAATCATGAGGTGAACTTCTATTATGTTCAAAGGAAGTCCTTCGTTCATTTTTCCATGTGAAATTAAAGAAGAGAAGAGGTTGCCATTCACTATCAATGGCAGTTTAGGTATATTAGGCACAGCAACTGGGGGCCCTTCCACACAGCCCTATATCCCAGAATATCAAGGCAGAACATCCTACAAGATCTGCTTTGAGCTGGGTTATCTGAATCCATACTCAGATAATGTAGGATTTTCTGCTTTGATATTCTGGGATATAGGGCTGTGTGGAAGGGCCCTGTGTGTTTTAGGGGCCCTTCCACATAGCCCTATATCCCAGAATACCAAGGCAGAACATCCCACAATACCTGTTTTGAACTGGGTTTTCTGAGGGCCCTTCCACACAGCCATATAACCCAGAATATCAAGGCAGGAAATTCCACAATACCTGATTTGAAGTGGGACCCCTTCCACACAGCTGAATAACACCTCACATTATCTGCTTTGAACTGGAATACCTGGCAGTGTGGTTGCAGATAACCCAGTTCAAAGCAGGTATTGTGGGATTTCCTGCCTTGATCTTCTGGGTTATATGGCTCTGTGGAAGGGCTTTGAGTTATCTGAGTCAACACTGCCATACATTCCGGTTCAAAGCAGATAATGTAGGGTTTATTCAGGTGTGGAAGGGGCTTCGGGTGCAGGTGTTTGTCTCTGGTGAATGAGAGCAGCGCGTTCCCTTTTGCAGTTTTGACATCAGGCTCACCTGCGGAGATGCGGAGGACCCTGCTGACATCGCGATTGAGCTGAAAGCCATCTTCTCAGACAGACAGTTCCTCAGGAATGCCTGTGTCTCCGGCGAATGGGGAGAAGAACAGTCATCTCTTCCATACTTCCCTTTTATCCCTGACCAGCCCTTTCGGGTGAGTACCAAGACTCTCATATATACTCCCATTAAGTGCCTATTATTATTATTATTATTATTATTATTATTATTATTATTATTGCTATTGCTGCTACTTTTAGAACTATCACACAGCCCAACAACAAAACATTCTTGGTGTTAGTATATAGGTCTGTTCCTCAAGTTATTTGGGGCGCTAATTCAGAAAATTGCATTGGATAGCATTGGCTCTAGTTTCTTAGATTATTATGGGTGAGCTGATGATGACTGGTAGAATCATAGAATCCTAGAGTTGGAAGAGACCACATGGCCATCTAGTCTAATCCTCCATGCAGGGAAAGCACAAAGTTCCCCTGACAGATGGCCATCTGGCTTCTGTCTCAAAGCTTCCAAGGAAGGAGCTTCCACCACACTCTGAGGCAGAGAGTTCCCCTGCTGAACGGTTTTTACAGTCAGGAAGTTCTTCCTAATGTTCAGGTGGAATCCCCTTTCCTGTAATTTGAATATGCCTCTGGTTACCACAGAATTTGTATATTCGTTGTCTTCATGCTGTTCGCTTTTTTTTAAGTCTAATGTATCTCAGTGTGCCTTTGTAGAGGAGATTTTTCCTGTATCTCATTCCATCCATAAGATGCAATGGAGTAACAAATAAATGAATACAGCATCCGTCATCAGTGCATAGTTCGGATTAGTTCAGTTACATACCCTCTTCTGGTTTAGTAAAAGATGGGAGATTGAGGCATAGTTTTAAAGGATCTGGCAAAATAGGAAAAATAGTATGTTACATAAAAGAATAAAAGGGAAAAAAGAATGTTACAAGTTAACCTCATTTAGTTGTAAAATTCAATTTTTCATTTTGGAAAAGGAGAAGCAAAATTAGGAAAAGCAATGCTTAAAATCAAAATAATGTTGCACTTAACACTCTTCTAATTTTAAATATTGCTGCTCAACATTCAGATGTGGATATGTGAGGGGGGAAATCTTGGGGAAGAAAAGAAGTCAAGGCAAGAAGAAAAAACGTATATATTTTGACCATATATCTGATTGATGTTTCCTAGTTCTAGTCTAGTTAGAGAGGATTGGGCCTTTCGTCTCCGTCTACGAACCCATGTAACCTCTTCAATCTTCCGAAGAGGCCCTTCTCTCGCTCCCGCGCGCATTGCAAGCGGGACGTGTGGGGACGAGGGAGAGGGCCTTCTCTGTAGTGGCCCCCTGGCTCTGGAATTCACTCCCCAGAGAGATTAGACAGTCTTCAGGAGGAAACTGAAAACCTGGTTATTCCAATGTGCCTTCAATGTGCCTTCAATGATTGAATGTAGGACATTCACTGTCCAAAATGACATCAGAAGCACTTTAGTTTATGGTTCATGCAACTAAATCCTTCCTCATCCCGGTTCCCCATCATGACAATCCTACATTGCCTATCTCCCAGTGTTTTTAAAATTTTAAATTTGTATTCAGAAATGGCCCTGCCCTGTTAAATTTCTGGTGTTTGATGTTTGATTTTATATTGCTATGTTGTTTATTATATTGGTTTTGCATTTTATGTTTTGTGTATATTGTGTCTATTATTTTGATGGACATGGCCTCATGTAAGCCATCCCGAGTCCCCCTGCGGGGAGATGGAGCGAGGTATAAATAAAGTTATTATTATTATTATTATTATTTGTAGAGGCTAGCATCCAAATCTGGATTAAATTCACAGAGTTAACAGCAGATGTATGTATCTACATGGCAATCCAAGTACAGATGCTTATTTGCAATGCATACCTTCCAATGGAATGTGGAGCCAAATGCATTCAGAAGTATCCACCAAAGTAGTTGTTATTAGATCTTGTTTAAGAGCCAAGGCAAATGATTCACACTTTGAGTGGCAATGAGAGTGAGGAGAGAAATTTTCTCCCAGATGGCCTTCAAACGTATTAATCCAAGGACTTTGTGCAAGAGATCAGGGCAGAGGATAGAAGAAGTTACCTCTAAGGCTCTCAAATGTGATTCGTGAACTGTATTGTTGTTGTTGTTGCTGTTATTATTATTATTATTATTAGAATCATCATCATCACCATCTTTATTTATACCCCACCTTTCTCCCAGTGGTCAGCCTTTTCCCTTCCCGCCATTGATCTACTTGCATTGCATGCTTTCAAACTACTAGGTTGGCAGAAGCTAGGGCTAACTGTTGGGAGCTCACCCCAACTTGCAGCTTCAAACTGCTAATCCTCCAGTCCGCAAATTTTCTGCACCTAGTAGTTTAACTTGCTGTGCTACCGCGGCCCCCATAAATGCAACCATGCATGCACTACAGCGTTACATTTGGCCCTAACACCCCAAGTTTGACTATCAAATGTTGTATTTTCTGTTGCCAGGCAGCAAGAATGGTATGTGTAAACATATACCTCTACTTGTCCTATTTTTCAGGATCCTTAAAAAAAACTTCCATGGGTTTGGGTTTGAATTTGGCATGTGGGTGGGAGTAAGAGCCTTTCTCTTGGGACATCTGCCTATAGAAACCCCTTCAAGAGTTTCCATGCACAGGATTCTTACTTTTCTTAGTAGCTTTCAGTAATCTTGGCAGAATGTCATGCAGTGTAAGGAACAATGGCAAGTTTCCCCAAAAGCTGGATTTATGACCTCTTAACTGCTGGGGATTCACATTTATGGTTGTTAATAACCAAATGTGACCCACCCCCCACCCCCAAACTACTTCTTCTACTCATGTGTATTGGAGGACCTAGAAGTGAAGTCTGCAGTTTTCCACCAGTTCCAGGTTGTCTGGTGACAATCAGAAGGGTGTCTCCAGTGGTCTGTTCTCAATATTGGAGTGCCTCAGAAACCATTGGTTGGGGCACTACCAGGGTCAGAGGGAAGACTTTTAGATAGTGGCATCATCAGATACAACTACAATAAGGAAACTTCATTATTGTTGTTAAGGATTTCATCCATTGGTTCTTATACCGGTTCTAAATTTACAATATGTACTTGAATTGATGTGACTACCAGTGGGGAAAGTCAATTATGTGTGTACTGCTTCTCGGGATTATGTGCTTTTGAGTCTGGTAAAGGTGACACAACATAGAATCATAGAGTTGGAAGAGACCTCATGGGCCATCCAGTCCAACCCCCTGCCAAGAAGCAGGAAAATTGCATTCAAATCACCCCTGACAGATGGCCATCCAGCCTCTGTTTAAAAGCTTCCAAAGAAGGAGCCTCCACCACACTCCGGGGCAGAGAGTTCCACTGCTGAACGGCTCTCACAGTCAGGAAGTTCTTCCTCATGTTCAGATGGAATCTCCTCTCTTGTAGTTTGAAGCCATTGTTCCGCGCCCTAGTCTCCAGGGCAGCAGAAAACAAGCTTGCTCCCGCTTGACTTCCAAATCTATGCAGGTGTCAAATGTGTTGCTCTCTTCTGAAGAATGGTTGAGTTCCCAGACAACATTTTGAAAGAAAATCAAGTTATAATGATAGTTAGTCCTTTTGCTTATTGCTGTTATTATTATACCCACTTACGGAAATGTGGGAGAATATGTCACTTAAAATATAGGGTCAGTGGCAAAATGGACTTTTGAGGTCAGATAAGGATAGCTCTCAATGAAAGAGAAGACCACAGGCACACTCTCAATTGTTTTCTTTTCTTTTGACACAGTGGACTTTGCTTCCCACAAACGAACATTACATTTTTATTTATATAGAAGGACGGTGCTAAGCATAGAATCCTATTGTAAATAATAAATACATCTATATAAATAAAAATCTAATGTTTGTTTGTGGGATTCACATAACTCAAAAGCCACTGGATGAATTGACACAAAATTTGGACACAAGACACCTATCAGGCCAACGAGTGACCATCACTTATAAAAACACTGAAAAACACTGTGGAAGGGACTTAAAAAGCCAAAAAAAAAAAACCCCAAAAGACATCAAAGCGCATGTGCAAAAATGACTCCCTCTGGCAATCAAAACACACAATAGCATACCCACACTCTTTTCCGGACTACAGCCCCCAGCACCCCCTAGACCAGGCCCTTTAGGAGAGGAGGATGATCCAAATGCATTGCTTCCAAGCTGCAAGCTTTCTTCTCCTTGGATTTCTTTGAGAGCATCCCAATCCCTGCATATTTCCCATTTCCTATTCCTGGACTCCAAGTCCCAGCAATCCTCCAGATAGATAAGACAGATAGATTAGATAGAGGTAGGTAGGTAGGTAGATACATTGATCAGGAGGACTGCTGGGAGTTACAGTCCAAGAATAGGTAGATAAGGAAGAAAAGAGAGAAAGAAAAGGGGAGGGAAAGGAAGGAAAGAGGTAGAGAGGGAAGGAGAGAAGGAAAGAGGGAGGGAAGGTTGGCCACAGCAATACGTGGCGGGTACAGCTAGTATTTTATATATTTTTACATGTTACTGTTAGGAATATTTTCTCAGTATATTATTTTTGTAGTTAAAGACAATTCAGGTGCACCATGGGACTGTGGCTCTTATAATAATTACTTCTTTTTTCATCCCATGGAATAGATAGTCATTGATGTGTTTGCAGAATAAGAAACAAATCTTCACTGTCTGCAGAATTATTTAAGTATTTATTAGCCATTTTTCCTCCATACAAAAATATAAAAAATGAAACCGGCAACAATTAATTTTAAATACAATGGCCCATTTAAATCCAACTGGTTCATAACACAACCACAATCAGAAGGAGCAAATGGGAAGTGAATTCCATCCTGGTTTTTCGTTTGTGATATCGTCCCCTGAAGATGATCATAATGGCTGGAGATATTTAAGTGGGAGAATGCCATACATTAGGTATTCTGGTCCAATAATAGTTTGTAGGTTAAAGCTAGCACATTGAAGGAACAAGCTAGATGTCAGTGTAGCTGTTCCAGAACTGGAGCAATAAATTCTGTGTGACTTAATCCATTTAGCAGTCCTTTTTTTTGGCATGCTGCTTCACAATTGTCTTCCAAGGCAGCCCTGTGTGCAGAGCCCTGTGATGCTCTAATTAAAACACGAGGCCTGCAGCCT